CTCGAAACCATGATGAGCGTGGATATAGATAGACTGTCAATAGAAGACATACTTTGTAGAAAAGAAGAATAAAAAATCGTGGGAATAATATAGAAAAATTCCCATTCGTGTCAAATAGATTTTGTGCACTGACTCGACTGGGATCTATCAAGACCTTGGGTAAGACAAGTCAACGAGGGAGACGATCTTCCCTGTACCCTGTTGTACTTTGCTCCTGCATTCAAATGCGCACACCTGAGATTCCGGTGCCCGGAAAATATTAACTGTAAATACCCGCGGACACGACTCCAGATTGTCCCCACCCACTAGACCGTTCCTGGTCGTAAGCTGTCTGTCTTCGGCTTGGCGCCGGACGACCGCCATCTCACCTTTTTCCGTGCTTTCCTTTGCTTTCGCTGACTGCTCGAGAGCTGCACAACCACTAGCGCCGCTTGGCAAATTTCACCCTCTACCACCAGCCCCTCGACCTTTCTCTCCTCTTCCTCTTCTTCCTTCTCTCTCGCTTTCCTCTGCTTCTTTCCTTTGCTTTTCCTTTTTCTTCGCTTTTTCCTGTTGGTGACTTTGCCCTGTTCCCTATACATTTCATTACCTCCATTTGCATCTCAATTCCTTTCCTCTCCCCTTCCGTTACCCACCCTCCCTTTCTCGGCTATTGGGTTGTGCCTTACTCATAGCGCCAACTCTCGCCGGCCGAGGCCCTTCCCCTTTTCATATTACCTTCGCATACTTTCGCAATCTTTCGGTCCTACGGTGCTGGCCTTTCAGTTCTACATCAGGGCGATTGACTGTGCGCGATCCTTGGCGCTTCTGTCTTCCGTACATCAGCTTCACTCCCGGCGAAGCGCGTGATTGAACGGAACTTTCAACCATTCTGGTCAAGGCGCCAAGGCTTATTAAATTGACAATCTCGACCTGAATCACGATTGTCATTGAGAGTGGCCTCGAAAAGAAAAAGTTGCGCTTGCGGGAACCGTTGGGCCTTGGTACGCGCGTAGACCTACATCGTGGTTCCGTGAGTGGTTGGATTGCATCATCGTGTCGCAGGGTTTATGGGGTCCGAAGCTACAACATCACGAAGCTCGGTTACTTTACGATTCGTCTAGTGTCTCACCTTGACTATGGCTCACACCCAGCCATCGCCCACAGGAGGCGTCACACCTCACCATGGCCATCTTGCTGCTCATCCGCAGGTTAATGGTCACATGCCTTTGCAATCGCAGGGCCAGAAGGGACCTCCCATGAGCACTGCTCAAAAGATTGCCGCGCTGAACGAGCAGGTGTGGCTTCAAATTGGTACGTTAAGACATTGCGCATGTTTTTCCATAGCCCTTTTAAGCCCTCACGCGACACGTACACTGACCGCTTCTCCTAGGTGGTCTAACTGAACTGATGGGAGACCTTGACGGTGCTATGAATGCATACGAACAGGCTTTGAGGCATAATCAATGGTCTATTCCTGCAATGAATGCGATATCCTGCATCCTGCGGACCAAGGAACAATTTCCGAAGGCGATTGAATATTTGCAGAATATTCTGAAGTTGGACCCAACGAGCGGCGAAACATGGGGCAGTTTGGGTATGTGTTCACTAACAACATACCTGCAACGAGCAGTTGACTGACTAGCAGCTCAGGTCATTGTCATCTCATGATGGATAATTTGCAAGAGGCATATACCTCTTACCAGCAAGCGCTCTATCATCTGCGTGATCCTAAGGTATGTTGGGCCGATTCTCTATATAACATAACATCAGCCTAACTCATGATCGTTTTAATAGGAACCCAAATTGTGGTACGGTATCGGTATCCTTTACGATCGTTATGGTTCCCTCGACCACGCCGAAGAAGCCTTCTCCCAGGTCATGAGAATGGCGCCTGATTTCGAGAAAGCCAACGAGATCTACTTTAGATTGGGAATAATTTACAAGCAGCAGCAGAAGTTTAACCAGAGTCTGGAGGTTAGTATCTATGCGTCAAAGTCAAAATCTGGTCATTTCCCTGATTCTTTAATTCCAGTGCTTCAAATATATTGTCACCGATCCCCCACGTCCTCTCACGGAGGAAGATATCTGGTTTCAGATTGGCCATGTCCACGAGCAACAAAAAGACGTGAGTTTTCTAACCCACCATGTTTAAAGATAGGCTCGAGCTAACCCTGGCAGTTTGATTCGGCGCAACAAGCCTATAGGCGGGTTCTTGATCGTGATCCGAATCACGCGAAGGTTTTGCAACAGCTTGGGTGGCTGTATCACCAACAGAGCAACAGCTACGCCAGCCAGGAAAAGGCAATCGAGTACCTTGAGAAATCGGTTAGCGCAGGTAGGTTTCTAAGCATGGTTTAAAAGAAGAAAGTGACGAGTCTAACGGTCTGTGCTTGTGATAGACAACACGGATGCGCAGAGTTGGTACCTGCTTGGCCGATGCTACATGTCCCAAGCCAAGTATCCCAAGGCGTACGAGGCCTACCAACAAGCCGTCTACCGGGACGGTCGGAACCCAACTTTCTGGTGTTCTATTGGTGTACTTTATTACCAAATCAATCAGTACCGCGATGCGTTGGATGCCTACTCGCGTGCTATTCGCCTAAATCCTTACATTTCGGAAGTTTGGTATGACTTGGGAACTCTGGTAAGCTCACGGATACCCGAGAAGACACCAATGGATGAGACTAACTTTCTATCCAGTACGAATCCTGCAACAACCAAATTACGGATGCTCTCGACGCGTACGGTCGTGCTGCCGATCTGGACCCGAGCAACGTCCACATCAAAGCACGCCTGCAGCTCCTTCAGAGTCAGTTGTCAGGCACCAACCAGAGCAATGCGCCGGCTCCTCAACCTCAGGATGTCCACCCGCAGGCCTACCAGACTGGTGTTGGAGGACCTCCCGCTCCTCAATGGGGTGCACCGGCACCGACTGGTGGTCCTCCTCCCCAGCCCCCTGCTCCACCAAGGCAGATTGCTGATTGGAACCGTGGCATCAATGAACTTCAATCTCAGGCTCACGCTCAAGCCCAGGCGGCAAATGGATTTGACCACAGAGATGCGGTTCGAGCCCCCGCAGCTATTCAGCAACCCAGCCCACGCCAGGAGCCAGGAAGGGGCTTCCCCGACGCTGTCCGTCCTCAGCCTACCACAGCTCGTTCCCCGAAGACTGCACTAGCCGGCCAGGGCGTGTACGCGCCTGCACATGCACTTCCTCAGATTGCAAACCCACCTGCCCCGTCTCACGAGCGTGCCCCTAGTGGTGCTGGCGGTTTGCCTTCGGCAACTCGAGGACCGTTACCTCCTGCCCCCGCAGGGCCCCCTTTTGCTCCCGGTGCGCCTAATGGTGCTCCTACTTCTGGCGGCCCTTTACCCCCTTATCATCGCCCATTCACCCCTCCGGCTGAGATCAGGCCTATCCGTGATGAGCGACCCTCGTCTCCTGGTTCCACTTACCCACACCAGCAGTATCATCACGGTCCTAGCGTGCCTCCTGTACAGGGCGCTGGCAGCACTGGAATTGCGGGCGGTGCACCCGCGCCTCCATCCGCCATCACTGCCGCTGAGGCCGCTGCTCGCGAACGTGAAGATCGTCCCGCATCTGCAATGAAGCGTGCTCGCGAGTGGGAATCTGAGTCCGCACCCGTTAAGAAGATTGCGAATGAGGAAAGCCGTGCTCGTCTCGATGAGCAGCTTCCTCGTCGTGTCAGTCCTCCAAACCGCATGCCTTCCCCCGGCGAGATGCAGCGTCGTAGCTCGTCTGAAGTTCGACGCGAAGACCAACGTCGTATCAACGAAAGTTACCATCCTTCTGAGGCGGCTCATCATCCTCCGACGCTGCCATCCATCCAGCACATGCCACCACACGCCTCTGGCTCTGGTCTTCCTCCAATGGCTGAAGGGTCTGCTCCGGCAGCTAACGGACCACAGCCTGGACCTTCTGCTCCTGTGCAGGTTAAGGAGGAGCCGGCCCGCGGCGAGCAACCCCCTGCTCATGAACCAGCTGCGCGGAAGATGGACGTGGACGAGAACTATGATGACGATGGCGATGATGATAAAAGAGCCAGCACTGCTGTAAAGGGCAGCCCTCCTGCCAGCGGATCAAACAATACCAACAATGCCACCAATGGCAGCCAGACTTCACAGTCGAAACCGGAGTCAACAGCCTAGGGACGCCACTACATATGAGTTTCCTACTGTCTCCATTGATGAATGTACCATGTTGCCTATGGACTGAGCCTGAAACAAAAAAGCTCACATGAAGTTATCATTATGAGACTTCTTGTTGCCTTCGCTTACTTCTACTCCGATTTCTTTTCTTTTCTTCTCTTTTTACTATCTATATATTTCATCTCTTTCTACCCCCTTCCCTTGATTTCCCTCTACTTTTGGGCCTACCATTTCCTGGTGGCGTTCACATTTGTCTGCTACCTTAGCCACTTGGTCTGTATTGTATGACTCCGAACGGCACATTAGGAAGGCGATGCACGTTTCCCACTTTGTGCTATTGTATCTATTCTATTTTTTCTAAATTTTTCTGTTTTCTTACATTTGTATGCCCTGCGACAACCCATCCGTTCTCATCTCCTGTCTTAGTCTTTTTAACTCTTGATGATTGAAGGTAGCAACAACAAAAAATGGCAAACTAGATCAAGTACTTTATGAGCTAGTGGTTTTCATTTTAATGCGTAGTAAGGCAGTAAGGTTTGGTGGTAGGTGCTACCGAACCTTCTGTACGACCCTTAGCCCGTGTCTGGAGCGGCCGGGGCCGATTCTCCATGTGCAACGGGAGAGGTATCAAGTAGTACTAAGTAGTACTAAGTAACCGTAGTCGTCCTGTTGTACTGATAGGGCTTTCACTGGTTACGTACAACGTTATGGGGTCAGAAGGAACCGCCGAAGTTACTAATAATGGTATGGTGGCCGAACATCAATGGTGCCTCAGGCACAAATTGGGAGTCGCTTACCGTCGCGGCAGTACCTAACCTTAACGGGATTAGCGGCGGCATCGCTTAGGTCAGCCCACACTCGTTAAGCGTGCAAAATATGACTTTGCGGCCGATTCAGAGATAGACACTGTCACTCACCACTTCGACGACTAACGACAACAGGGTCAAGATGTGAGTTACCACGCTGGCGCAATGCCATCATGTCCTCAAAAGAATCAAATCGCTGATTTTTATTCTCTGTAACAGGAGTCACCGGAAGTACGAAGCGCCTCGGCACGGTTCGTCAATCTTTGCTCAGTTTTTTTTCGGGCGACTTCGAATTTTGAGGTCGTGAGTGTGTTTTGTGTGCGTCCTACTGACACAACTCTTCACAGGCTCCCTTGCCTACCTGCCCCGCAAGCGCGCTGCCAGACACCGTGGAAAGGTCAAGAGGTTAGTTTTGGATGAAAATTTCCATGTTCAAATGGGATATTGGAAGGCAGGATACTGAGACCCACGACAGCTTCCCCAAGGATGACCCCAAGAAGCCCGTCCACCTGACGGCCTCCATGGGTTACAAGGCCGGTATGACCACTGTTGTCCGTGACCTTGACAGACCCGGTGCCAAGATGCACAAGAAGGAGGTTGTCGAGGCTGTCACCGTCATCGAGACCCCTCCCGTATGTTACACCTATCAATTATTTGACCCCAGTGGGTGCGTAAGTGCAACGTACTCACAAATCTTATCTAGCTTGTCGCTATCGGTGTCGTCGGTTACATTGAGACTCCCCGTGGTCTCCGCTCTCTCACCACCGTCTGGGCTGAGCACTTGAGCGACGAGGTCAAGCGCCGCTTCTACAAGAACTGGTACAAGAGCAAGAAGAAGGCCTTCACCAAGTACGCCAAGCAGCACGCTGAGGAGAGCGGTGCCTCCATCACCCGCGAGCTTGAGCGCATCAAGAAGTACTGCACTGTCGTCCGTGTGCTCGCCCACACCCAGATCCGCAAGACCCCTCTCAAGCAGAAGAAGGCCCATCTTATGGAGATCCAGGTCAACGGTGGCTCCGTTGCCGACAAGGTTGACTTCGCCCGCAACCTCTTCGAGAAGACCATTGAGATCGACTCCGTCTTCGAGAAGGACGAGGTGATCGACGTTATTGCTGTCACCAAGGGTCACGGTTTCCAGGGTGTCACCAGCCGTTGGGGTACCAAGAAGCTTCCCCGTAAGACCCACAAGGGTCTGCGTAAGGTCGCCTGTATCGGTGCCTGGCACCCTAACCACGTCCAGTGGACTGTTGCCCGTGCTGGTCAGATGGGTTACCACCACCGTACCTCCTGCAACCACAAGGTCTACCGTATCGGTAAGGGCACCGACGAGGGTAACGCCTCCACCGACTTCGATATCTCCAAGAAGCAGATCACTCCGTAAGTACCCCGTGGAATGACCTCTGTGTGGGTTGACATGCAGTGACTAACTATCCCGCAGTATGGGTGGCTTCGTCCGCTATGGTGAGGTTAAGAACGACTTCGTCATGCTCAAGGGTTGCGTCCCTGGTGTCAAGAAGCGTGTCATGACCCTGCGCAAGACTCTCTACCCCCAGACCAGCCGCAAGGCCACCGAGAAGATCGAGCTCAAGTGGGTCGATACCTCTTCCGAGTTCGGCCACGGTGCCTTCCAGACCCCCGAGGAGAAGCGCGCTTTCTTGGGTACCCTCAAGAAGGACCTTGTTACTTCCGCTTAAGGTGTTTATGGATATGATACGGTGTAGTGCAAATTATTTATTTTTTCAATAAAAAAGCGAATACCTTCCAAGTCTAGGGTGCGACTGGAGATCGTCATTTTCTATTAGGTTTACGTAGCTGCAAGGCAAATTTCATGACATTCAAAAGACCGCCCTCGACGAGCAGAAAAATTCTCCTGTAGGAATGTCCATTTCTGGCAATCTGCACTGCACTATAGTATCGAATTGCAATTTGTGCGGTGGGAAAACCTTGGCGCCTCCCTGACGCAGTCCAGAAGAAATACCTTTAAACTTTGGAAGACATGACTCTTTCATGCCCTTTGTATGCTCCTCTCTGTTCTACGGTAGCGATCAGCTCCATCGAACTCTGAAGACCGTGCTTGACTCCATAATACTTGACTGTCCACAGCCCGAACCCTTTCTTCCGTGGCAAAACTCCCGTACAACTCTCAGCATCCAATCCCCATGCCGCTCAGCCGCCGAGGGCATTGCGTCATTGATCGCATCTGGTGTTGGGCTTCAATCTCATCGCCAGAAGTCCGCAAACTTCCCCTCCTCCCTTCATTCATCCAACTTCCACTCAAGAACTATCCCTCTTCCTCTTGCCAAATCCGCCATCTTCATAGGATACTCTTCGTGAGCCCTCACCGAACCCGCGACAACATCACTGTTTCACCACGTACCCCTCTCCAACCCACCATCTCGCGCACAATGTCTGACGACGCGTACATGAACTTCCTGAACAAGGCCAACGCAGACCTGGACACCGGGCGAGCTCAACAAACACAGGACTCTCCCGCCGTTCGTACCGAAACAGTCGAAACGGGCGTCCGCATCCCAACTCCCCTGACTTCAGTCGACGCCTACTACATCTCTGAAACCGATGAACCGTTCGAACCTGTCGCACTGCGATGGGAGGGCGCATCTAGAGGAATTTTCCCTGATCCTTGTACGTGACTCTTGTAAGCCCTAGTTTTCACAACCTCAAAGAGGCAGTTCACCGAAAACAGTCAATCTCAAGTGATCCATGCTAACTACATCTACCAAAGCGCATCTATCCAGTCTGATCTCGCCGAATGCGGATCTTTCATCATCGATTACTACTATGTCGCCATCTTCATTTGATCCGAAGAATCAGTACCCGTCTGCGCTGCGCGCGGTTCGCGCCGCCGTGGCGGAGTCGTCTGGGGGAGATGAATCGGCGGTGGATGTGAAGGTTTATCGGGTTGAGGTTGGGCCATCGCGGATTGAGTATTATATTCTTGCGGTGGATGTTGAGAAGTCGTTGGTTGTGGGATTGAGGACGAAGTCTGTTGAGACTTAGTGGTGCTTTGTGGGTGAGGCAGACTGTTTAAGAGTGGATCGGAGAAGTGTTCTCTTTCCACTCTTTTTACTTTATTTATCTTCGTGGGTGTATATATGGAAGAGAGAGGATTATAATAGTTGAGAATGGTCCGTGCGAATGAAATTATATACTTATGCATTCGAGTTCATGTCATCCTCTTTTCTTTCCTTCCTTTGCTTTTGTTTCTTTGTCCTTTCTGAGACCGTCTTATGGTAAATCCTGGCAGAAAGAAAGAAGCATATAAATGTGTCCCATGATACTCCAGAAACATTGAATAGAACAAGCAGCATTTAAAACTAGATAACGTCTTAAACCAATTGGCCTTGGTCACACATAGTACTACCTGCAAATAAACCCAACACAGGTATACAACCAAGATCTGTTGGTTACTACTACTAGACTAGACTTAGCATGGAGATACTCCGTACTACTTACCATGAACAGATACCCATAAATGCATTACCAGTTAAGTCCAAACCAAAATCCTAAAAAGAAAGAAAGAACGAATACACATTCTAGCCGACGAGTAGGAGTAGACGGAACAACATACAAGGAACACCCCCCCCAACAAGATACATTAAATAGGCCCACCACAGCAAGGGCCCGAGAGCTACATTCATTTATACCTACCTAGGAGTTACTGCCGGGAACCCATGACTCAAAAACCCACCACGCAACACACAGCATAAGTATTTCAATCTGATTCATGTAACTTGAAAAGTCCAAAGAACTACCCAAGAATAGAATACCCACTAACGCTTGTCAAGATAGCCTCGTGGTCTGAACATGGTCCCCATTTGTCTCAGAACGCAAGGTATTTAGCACCTTGAAAGAGAAAAAGGGCAAGGAAAAAAAAAAAAAAGGTTATCTATCGTGGGTCAAAAACACACAAAGCAAACTGCGCCCCGATCCGCAGCCTCCAAACTGTTCATCAGAATAGGTTATATGTTGTCTCGGTTTCTTTCATAGCAAGAAAAAGAAAAAAAAAAAAAAAAAAAAAAAAAGAGTAAAGAAATGATTCTCCCCCACCGCAACAGAAAACAAATTACAGTTGCAAAAAGAGTAATGGATCTTATATATATATATGTATGCATGTATGCATGTATGTATGTATGTATGTATGTTGCATTAATGGCTCAGAGTTCTTTTCTTGGAAGATATGAATTTTCTATGTGGTTAAGATGACCATCATCTGACTGTTAGATGTGGTACGGCGGTTCTACTATATGTTTGGGGTCGATGCAGGTTGGGTGCCATGCATGTTACCCAGAGGGAAATGGGGTTTGGAGGGTCTTGAAGAAACAAAACCCCGTGAAAGGGGTCCCAGTGGGTGGGTGTGGGTGGATGTATGTACGTATGTATGTACTCCAGTGTGGAGTTAGGGTGTAGATTTGGAGGGGTTGGGGTTGTGTAGTGGTTTCTACTAATTCATGTGTTTTTGGCGGAGGGAATGCAGAGTACTGGTTTATTGATTTATTTTAGGCATCCATTCTGTATTGTGCTTATGTTTGTGTGGTTCTGTGTGTGTGTGTGTGTGTGTGTGTGTGTGTGTGTGTGTAGCACAAAGAGGGAGAAACGATAGGCAGAAAGGTAAAATAAAAGGAAATAAAAAACAAAAAAAATAGTAGGAAGAGGAAAAAAATAGTAAGAAAAGATATGAGCAAGGGGCGGTTCCTCGTCCCTGTTGTTGGTGCAGGCGGAGGGCAAGAGTGAGAAAAACGAATACGATCATCTTTTTTATGTATTTTTATGTATTTTAATTATTTTTCTTCTCTTTTTCTTTTTCTTTTTTTCTTTTTCTTTTAAATCTCACATGGAAGACAATTCCATAGTCCTGTACAGAATACAATTTGCACAATCAACAACGCAAACTGTCTCAGGTGAGAAAGGTAAATCAGTACAAAACCAAGTACGCGCCCCACTTGGAGGGAAAAAGGGCTTCTGGTGTTATTTTTGTTCGGGCGATTGTTATCATGGCGCATGGGACCATCGAACTGGGGCATGTCTCGGGATGGATGGGTTTAACACGCGTCCCTGCCAGACTAAGTATATTAGGGTTGTCCTGGTAAATTACCAGGGTAAACGGTGAGCCCCGCTAAGGTATTGCTTTGGTACCGCTAACAACGTTATCTTGAAGCACGATGGTGGTGAAGGGGAACCGCAGTTCTTAAATACATACATACATATATATACTCTGGACCAAGAGGCCAAGCATTGTTGATCTCTGATCATTACTCGAAAGGATTTGAGCTGCCCGAATGGTGTGGACGGTGATTGGGTCGGATGTGGATAGGTGTTGCTCCTCATTGCATGCATCTCAAGCCGTTGCCGACACCGAGATGTTTATCCTCAGGAAGGATTGGGAGCTATGACATCAATCTTAGAGGTGGTTGATAGAGGGGTTGTGGCTTTATTTGCAGCTCACAGGCGATTCGGTAGATGTATCAACTGTCATCTATGTACAGAGGAGATGATGTGGCTAACATCAAACGCGTCTCGGGTGATCTGCTGGTGATCTTAGTCTCAACTGACAGGATGAAAGATCACTGCTGTACTTTACAAGTAGTGACCACCGGTCCAGTGTGTCAGTCAATGGTAGTATCCCACGGAAAGCAATAGATATGCCAATGGGTATCTCTTGGTCTTCATACTTCCCGCCATGTTTTGCGAGTTTCAGCGGGGGTGATAGAAGATCACCAGGAATGGCGGAAGGTTGCTACGTATGAGCTTTGTCTGATGGAATGAGGGGAAGAGTAAACAATGGGTCACAAAATTCCAGGACTAAGACAATTAGCCATGGAGTATGCTATACGTTCACTTTGGCTATTAAGCCTCATTGCCTTCTTCTTCTTCTTTCTGGCCTGGTAACCTGTTTGTTGCGATGACGACAGGGTCGTTGCTTTGTCACAGGAGTAGATCTGATCTATCCAGAGCCTTTTAAGGTTAACGGCTAGGACGCGTGTTCAGGAATGATAGATAGATAGATATATATATAGGAGCATCCATGTGAGGCACTCATCGGAGATAATACTGTTCGCCTTGTTTTTCCTTTTGCTTTTTTCCTTTTACTTATCCAAAAGATTAGCGATCGTCTAAGAGCGAAAAAGGAAATAAGTTCTAGGGTTAGGTTCTTCTGGAAGGGGTCTTGGCGTGCCAATCATTGAACCCGAGGGTTTGATGCAATGGAGATGTCTTCAGACAGTCGTGATAATCTGTTAATATAGGGTGTACTTCGTGATGAGTAAATAGTGGGAGTGTGCACTGTAGCAATTGGACATCTATCCATATCACCGTAGTAGTACTCTGTAGAACGGCGTAGTTAGTTGAAGGCCGTCTTTAACCGGGACGATTACCATACAATACCGAATCCACCAGGTTGATGAACCCTGCACTAAAAGACTTCAATATGGCGCTAGACAGTCAAATAACGCTTAGTTGCCGAGTCTTAGGGTTTGCCGGTCCACTTGACAACGATCTCGAGATTCCATGGAACAGGCTACCATTTCTCTTGGACTGTAGCAACGAAATTCTTCCTGAGCATTCCTGAAACTCACTGGGTGGGGTGGATGCTTCGGTTTGAGGCAGCTATGAAATATCCCGGTGAACCACCCAAGGGGTTCGACAACGGGAAGGAAAAACAATGGACGGAACTGGAATTCTTCCCCTGAAGGGTCAAAGTCTAGACCGCTGAGGAAACAAACATACTCGCCGAGCAGTACCTGCAGGACCGAGTTTTCTCTCGTCACCTTCGAACCAACGTTAGCCAAAGGACCTGCAGACGCCACCGGGCCACCTTCTTTACTCATTTCCCTAGGCTGTGAATCGCCCAAAGAAAAAGGGCGATGATCTCCACTTGCAGGGGTCTTAGTGGCCAATGATCCCCGGAGGGGACCTATTTTAAAGCATTCTTGTGGTCTTGTATCTTTCTGATAACAACAGGACCGTCGGTGGTACCTTTCATGCCGATTCCTGCTGTCTTTGGATGGTTTCATGATGGACCAGTATTATTCTTGGGATTCTTATTTGTCCTTTTCATTCTACGACACTGCCTGTATTATTATTCTGGATTATTATTATTGGTAAACTGTTTAGGTATAAACTTGGAGAAGGAAAGTAAATTTTTTCTCTCTCTCTCTTTTTTTTTTGTAAAAAATAAATGAAAAAAAGCTTTGCCATGCTATGTAGGAATAAGCCAAACAGGGATTGGCATTGACAAACTAAACGCTCTCCACTCCCCTGTCCTTACTGTCCTTCTGGGTAGTTTAGGTCTTTGTGGCATCCTGACCTTCATTCCAATTGCGCCCACTGGTGCCTTTTCTTTGTTTCTCTCTTCCTTTCTTCTTTCTTCTTCTCCCCCTCCTCTCCGTCTAAACGTCAATCTACCCCTTCGCCGTCGATTATCACCGCCCATTCATCTCAACATATGCACGCTCTTTAATCCTTTCTGCTTGTTTTGGTCCTGATACACTGATACCGTCTGTGCTCGTGTACGTTCGCCAACCTTCCAGAGACAAATGCGCATCGGGATTCAGTGTCCCGTCCACTCGTTCGTAGTCTTGTTTACCTCTTGATACCCATAGCGCATCCTTCGTCGCTCTTTTTCGCCTTTGTCACGGAGCCAGTCATTACCGAGAGCCGGGGTGGATTAATATCTAATTAACACTGCTGCAGTCTGCTGGAACACCATCTGGATGGAATCGCGGATGGTAGCTTTTTGATCGGTTGTACACCAAGGGCTTAAAGAATATACCTGCCCACCAGCGCGCATTATCGATACCATTTGCGACGCGACCAGGATTCAGGAAGAAGCACTCTCAAGGCTATTGAAGGGTGAAATTAGGGCTCGCTCTTCCATCAACAAACCACAAATTCGTGTGTGTGTGTGTGTGTGTGTGTGTGTGTGTGTGTGTGTGTGGGTGTCCCAACAGTGGTTACAGATCACCCACGGCACAATCAATACAAACGTATTGCAAGATGTC